TCACTGACACAGCTTCAACACCAAACAGTGTACACAGAGCAGGAAGTAAACCGGAAATGAGTCAATACGCTTACCGTAGCACGTAGCACGTAGGAGGATCAGGAGGTTCAAAGTCCTTCACTTTTTAGCTACAAAGGTTCATGGATACAGAATAACCACCCAGTTTGTAGATTAAAAACAGCTCATTTTCAGGTAACAAAAAACACGATTCTTATTTTCAGGTAGTTTTGCATATGATATTCAATTTCATCCAATAGATCTCCTAAACGGTACACACTGGACCTTTAAGTATTATTCATGAAGAGTTTAACACTCCAAAACTCAGGGAGTCTGCTACATCAGAAATATGTCCTATGAACTGTCCTCTGAAGACATGTTGCATGTGAAAGGGCTCTTCAGGAGTGTTTCAGCACTTTTCAGCATGTTGTTTTGGTTTTTACAGCCCAACTGCAATGTTTTGGTTCACTCTGATGGCCCTCATCGGTCATTTCCAGTAGTAGCCTTCTTTTTTCAATGACAAATTAATTAAAAATTAAATGAAAACACTACTTGCTCAGCACTAAACAGCAAACACAGTAAGAGACTAGCTGTCAGCAGCTAAAGGAGAGTTCCCAAATGATCCCAAATGAATGCTAATGTTGTTCTCTAACTGCAGGATGTACAACTATTACCAAGTTTACAATATCAGCTTAAAATGTGATAATATAAAAAACAGTGTCAAGCATTTGTGAGAAAGTTTGCATTCTTGATTAATTCTGTAAAAATGTGAGTAAAGCTCAACAAGAGTGGAGCTGTGAGTCAAAGTAACATTACCATGGTATCCACATGAGCATGTTTGTTATGTGGCACACAGATGTAGAGATTAAGGATGACGGGGGGCTTCAGTTGGTCGAGTTGAACCCCATCGACCCCTGGCTGGCTGACCCTCGAGAGCCTCTGGAGCTCCAGAAAGGAGAAGTCAAAGTATGTATCCTGCTGTTCACACAGTCTACTCTTTACACCACACCCCACATTAATAACACTTTAATTCTTACATGAAAATATATAAAAATACAGAGTTTAGAAAACGTTCAAGTTAAAATTTGGACACGTTTTAATTTAGTTTTGTGAAGACATTTAAGGATTGCAGCAGAAAACACAAACAGCTATTAAAAACTGTGAAATTGTGTAATGAAATTGTATAAAATTATCTCCTTTTTTACTTATGTTTAATGCAGAGTGACAACACAATAACAGCCATATGACATACATTGTCATTATTACGTTCTGTAAAAAAGACAAACAATTTTTTTCTTTTTTTCTTTTTCTCTGTAAAATCCTCCACAAAAACAGTGATGGTTCTATGTGTCTTCACTTGGACAGTAGCCAGCTCTGTTCACAGTTTATAAGCATTGTCAGATCCGGCTATTGCGACACAACCGAATCATCAAGGTAACAATGTGACATCTGCCACCTGTAAAATTCTGAACTTCCCTTCCAGGTAACGTACTTAACCCACGCCTGCATGGAGCTGCAGCTGGGACAGAGGCGGTTCATGTTCGACCCGTGGTTAAAGGGTCCTGCATTTGCCAGGGGCTGGTGGCTTTTGCACGAGCCTCCAGCAGACTCCCTGGACAGACTGTGTGCAGCAGATCTCATTTACATCAGCCATATGCACTCTGACCACCTCAGGTAAACTCTGTAGATGTTGCTAAGTAGATACTTTTCCTTTTAATAATAACCCGCCACAGTAGAGTTTTTGTAATGCCATTTTGCCTTCCCAATTCCCGATTATGTTCCATTTCTGCCAATAGATCGTCCTAACTGGACCTTTAAATTAGGCGTCAATGGCAACTTTTAAATATCATTACTGGTGCAACTTGTGAGAGAACACAACACTTCGTCATCACTGTCACCACTCCCTTTCACGAACCAGGTGCCAAATGTCCCTTAAACATAACTGCTACAGGATTTATTCTCACATTTCTTTGTTCAGCTTTGTTATCCTTCTTTTTTTTTTATCTCTCTCTTGACATCAGAACGGTTTGGGGGGAGTGGGTTTCCAAAGCTCTTTGACCATCTGACAAGCACACCTGCATAAGCATTCTGGCAGCATCACTTCTATTTTTGCGCCCACACACAAGAACTAATATAGCAAACTTATTTTTAAAGATCAGAAGAATGAAGAATCGTTTAAAACAATACCAGGCAAACAATGACAATGAGCTGCTACTGTAAAAAAAATAAATAAATACAAAAAGACATTACGCCTTATGTACCTACTATTTGCCTCCAAATTAATATTAGAATTACGATGAACCAAAACAATATATATACGTTTTTATCATTTCCTTTATATCTGTACCGTTTCCTGTCCAAACCAGAAGTGCATTGTATTCACCACAGAAAACAAATCTTTCAAGATCGAATGTCGTAATGAGATGAGAAGGTGTCATGTCATAATTATTTCTAATAGGCATGCAGTGGGCGCGGTAACTCCAGGTTCAAACTGGTCATGGCTTAGGAATTTCATTTACTTATAGCTTAGGATGTATAATGCCTTGTAGGGATCTAACCTGTCCTGTTCTTTTCTAGTTACCCGACACTGAAAGACTTGTCAAAAAGGAGGCCAGATGTCCCCATTTATGTTGGTGACACACTGAGACCTGTCTTTTGGTTAGTAAATGAATGGAGCTCAGTTTAATCCATTAAATCTATTATTAAAAAACTATTTTTAATGTGTTTTAAGTAATTTGTATAAGTATAAGTATTTGTGTGTCCCTCTCTCTGTCTTGATGCAACAGGTATTTGGAGCAAAGCCAAGTCCAGCTGACCAACATCAATGTCGTTCCCTTTGGTGTCTGGCAAGATGTAAGTTACTGCTGCTCACATCTGGTCCAAGGGCAATGACAAAAACTCTTTAATAAATAGAGATATTGTTTAATAATTAGGAATAATGCCATTATGAAATGAACATATTTTAAATATATATATTTTACTATATGAAGTGCTTTAATTAAATAAAAATGTAAAACCTTGCAGTACTATTTTGGGTCTAATACAGAATTACATGTGGATTCAAATTACAGCATAATATGTGTGATCACACTTTATTTTAAGGTACACTAAGACGTAATAACTTGTCATTTGTAAATTAACTGTCAAACTACAACGAGTCACATCTGGTTGCATAAAAACCTGTAAATAGTCAACATAAGCCTTGCACAACCTGTGTCCTGTGATGCTGGAGACACTCCAGGAAACTCTCTCTCAGGGAACAGCACTGAACACAGAATGTATCCTAGAAACAAACATTTAACTACACTGTAATCACAGGGGCAGGGCTTTGTGTTCAAACTTTACAGGTTTTTTATTCATATTATGCTAAATATGGTCTAGAACCACCGTCTATAGCCAAATCCTGGATTATATCAAAGCTTAAGCACAGAGGCGTGTTGAAATGATGTCTGCAGACAGCAGCCATTTTGAGGTGTAACCAATGATACTAATTAGGCTATGTTCCATTTAGTGTAGCAGAGCCTTTCCAGCAGCGTGCCTCTAAGTACGAAGTAAATCATTTCTTCTAATGAGCACCAAATGACCCCGTAAAAAAGTGAAACTATGGTAAATAAAGGTCAAATAAATGTACTGCTGCATTATATTTGATTTCTAATTAGACTATGATCTTGTAAAATGGTGTATAATTATGTATCAAGATCTCCTACTCGATTTTAAATTACAATCTAATTTTGTATTTAGTACTTAAGTATGGCTAATACGGCATTATATGCGGTTTGAATTACAGCATAATTTAGATGTTCGCTTACTGTCTAATAAATGACATAATTTCTAGTTTGGGTCCAAACTGATATAAATTAGGCTTCTTACATCTTATTAATGTACCCTAAGGTATAGTGCCAATTCTGCTACCACGATAATAACTATATTGTATTTAGTGGCTACCCTGTCCCTTGGTTTGTATCAGATTGACGAACACCTGAGATTCATGATCCTGATGGATGGTGTACATCCCGAAATGGACACCTGCATCATCGTTGAATATAAAGGTACATACTTTTCAATGACTTTTCATATTTTAAATACCATCACTAGAGTTGTAGAGTAAAAAATATACATATTTGCAGGCCACATGATCCTGAACACTGTGGACTGCACAAGGCCAAATGGTGGAAGGCTACCAGAGAATGTGGACTTAATGTTGAGTGACTTTGCTGGGGGGGCATCTGGATTCCCCATGACCTTCTCTGGAGGGAAATACAGTGGTGAGGCTCACTTCAGTGGTTAATAATTTCAGTATAGTTAAGTTTAATTATTTTTATATACATCGCAATTCATCCTAAATGTAATAATTTAGTCTATCCATGTTGGTCCTTTTATTTTCTCTTTCAACTGGAACTACTGAAAGATAAAGCTATACCCTCATGAAAAATTTTAGGTTTGTCACAAAATTAGTCTTACAAGTTCAGCTTACCTACATTACAGGTTTAATATTCCAAACAATGGCATAATATTTCAAAGTTAGGGAGCAATATAAAGATCTGACATCTTTTTCTTTAATACACATTTGATGTGTACCACAGTGCTGATGTAAAGATGATGGTATATGTCTGTACCCAGATTCCTGGAAGGAAGGATTTATCAAGAATGAAAGGAAGAAGCTGTTGAATTACAAATCTCAGCTGGTGAAGTCCCTGCAGCCCAGGATCTACTGCCCCTTTGCTGGGTATTTTGTGGAGGCTCATCCATCAGACAGGTAGAGTGTGTATATACACAGATTATCTTCGAGAATAATTAACAATGTAAACAAACAGTAACTATTGTATGTGTAAAAACCTGGCTTAGTGGTACTCTTGGGTTCTTCCAAAAGTGAATGTTTGTCTCTATTGTGTGTACAGATACATTAAGGATACAAACATTAAAAACAGTGCAGAGGACCTCAATGCGCTCATCAATAAGATCGCACCAGAAATCAAGACATGGACACCCAAGCCAGGCGCTGTGCTGGACCTCGGCCTTGCTCTGAGAGACCCCACTAACAGGTTGACAACACACCGAGCACTGTTTGTGTGTGTGTTTGTGTGTTTTATCTCATGTCTGACCGTGGCAAAGAAAAAATGACTCATTCAGTACTTTACAACTAGATACATCCCAGTACATATGTCAGCACAAGGCCGTCTGTTTAGTTTTGGACATCATTTCTATTGGTTATAATAACGCTCTATACAGACCACCTGAGATATAGGAGCATGTTAACATGAGCAGCCAGGTGATCAGACAGGTTGTAAACAAGCCGAACGTTTATCCAGATAATATCTAAACCACTTTATCTAGTGGTGAAACTACAACAAGCAACATTTTCAAGAACAATGCTGTTTCTTTACTGCCAGGATGCCGAATTTTTCTTGGGACATGCAATATAATGACTGAAGTCATTCATTGTTTATTTAAAGCTCCAGTGTGCAACATTCAGGAGGATCTATTGGCAGGAATGGAACATAATATACAAGGGTATGTGTGTAATCACCTAAAAATAGGAATAAGTTGTGTTTTTCTTACCTCAGAATGAAATGTTTTTATCTATACAGGCAGCGTTTCCTTACATCAGAAATGATGAGTTCTGCGTGACCTTGCAATTTTGCCCAATCACCACAACTTTTCTGCGAATTTAATTATTTTAACACTGTAGCTTCCAACAAGTTTCACCAATCATAGTGGTCCCATGCGCAAAACGTTGGGCCATACCCAAGTTCCCTTAGATTTTTAATGAATTATACAATTCAAATCTCAATTATTTTTTTACAGTTTTCAGTGTAAGACATTACACGACAGATGTAGCAACAGTAACTAAAGTGTGCTGAGTTTAGCGAAGGGTCGTGGTGAGTATGTTATTATAACAATTAGGAATGATGGCCAAAATACAAAAAAGATCAAAATTGTAATCGAATGAAATTATCCTTTAAAGTGCACATATGAAGTTCCTATTTTATGTGAATACTTATGTGTAATTCCTTTACTACACTACCAAACATAGTGAGGCCATCACCAGTCCCCCAGCCAGTGCAAAAATCTACAAGGACAGTTGGGATTTCGACATGTATGTGGATGAACTGAACAGTGCCATCAGTTGTGAGATATTTAAACATCAAAGCTGGATCCAGTTTTATTACACCTGGGCAGGCTTTCAAAACTACAACCTTGTTATTCGGGTAAATATACTTTACCAAGCAAAATCCTCTCTGTTCTTTCGCAACTTCTATGGCAGATGCTCTTCCTTTGCATAAACTTTCCTTGGCACTGTAGCATATGAATTACCTCTGGAAGCACATTTGGTTCTGTTGCTTTGTTCTACTAAAGAGTAATGATGTTGAAGAGTCCTGGCTTGATCGTAAGTGCAGTGGTAAGATGTAAGTGCAACATCCCCACTTCAGTTTTTATCAAGTGACCTTTGTTTCTTAGTCTCTTAATAGTGCCACCTATGGCTGTACTTTAACAGCGGTGATGTGCTCACAGTTACAGTACATGCTGATGTTTAGCAGGTACAATGTTTACTATCTTAGCTTAGTGCATTAATATGCTAACATTTACTAATTAACACTAAACAGTATTTGACAAATTGAAATTCTGAACTGCTAGAAGAAAAGTCTGGGGTTCACTCATGGATTCATCCTCTGGAGATGCGTGTACAAACTTCCGTAACAATCTAATAGTTGCAGAGCTGATTCATTCTGGACCAAAGTGGTGGAACAACTGACCAATACCGCTATCCCTACAGCCATGCTGTTAGCATTGCTTATAAATACAAAACTACTTGAGATGGCTCATTTTGGAAATTATGTAATTTAGCTCAACAGAGGGAATGCAAGGACACGTAGAGGTTATATCATGTAATGTTTTTAAACTGAGATTTTAATTGCCTCTGCTCTGTTTCCTCCTCCCCTCTTCCCTTTCCTGCCAGCTTTCAGTCGTCCTCCCCAGCTGCTCTCTCTCTCTCTAAAGCCCCAGTCTGTCCCTCTGGGTAATGAGCTTATTTTGAACTGAAAACTGGTCCTACTGGCTGACCCGCTCTTCCTTTCTTTTCTGTTTGCAACGTCAAAATTGATGTCTGTCTAATAAAATGTCCCAACATGTACGTTCAAGATGATTGAGACAGATGAGAACTTTCAACCCCTTACTGATGGCTATGACTACTTTGTGGACTTTGTGGATCTGTCGTTCCCCACCAAGAGGCCTGACAGAGAGCACTCCTACATAGAGGTGAGACATTTTAAAGACTAACTAACAACACACGGCAGCATAATAGAGCTGTGGGAATTATTTAAACTACCTAACTACCTATATATCAAGTATTAGAAGATACTAATGAAAAAATATTTTACATTTCTGTTACAAACTGATGATTGATCCAATAAGAAACTCAAAACACAGTCTACATGCATACAAAATCCCTGTTATTGTAGCTGACAGGGTCAAAGCTCACACCTATGTGCAAAGAAATTAAGATGCACAAGCAATTGTACAGGAATTTGAATCATAAAAAAGGTTTGAAGTACAATGTGTGTCTATAGAAGTTTCACTAACAAAGACCATGCCAATGGCTGTATGGAATAAGAAAAAATGTATTACACGTTATGAACAAATGTGGAATACTGGGAGGGAAAGGGTCGAGGGATGGAGGGGATGAAAGGATGAAGGGATGATGGGGTAGGGGTCGAGG